GAAACTGCCAAACAAAGACTCACCAATCTGGCTACCCGCCTAAAGAGATACAAGGGAGAAGCAGAAGCCAGAAGAATAGAACTGGAGAACCGGACCATCCAAAGTGGCGGGGTAATAACACAAGATCAGATCCACCCAGGGCTGAGACTGAACAGTACTGGAAGAACACATGGGAGAAAGAGGCATCCCACAACACCAATGCTCAGTTGCTAGTGGATCTAAGCCAGACCAGATCACAGCAATCTCCCACAACAAGAACCAGTAACCATTACAACGGCAGACATCCAAGAAAGAGTGGCAGGTATGAAGAGCTGGACAGCACCAGGCCCTGACATGATCCACACCTACTGGCTGAAGAAACTAACTGCACTCCATGAATGCCTGGCAACACAAATGAACCAACTGCTGATGGATGGGACCCACCCAGAATGGTTAACCCAAGGACGGACAGTCCTGATCATGAAGGACCCCCAGAAGGGAACAATCCCATCCAACTACCGGCCAATAACCTGCCTCTGCACAACATGGAAGCTTCTGTCAGGCATCATAGCGGCTAAGATGAGTAGGCACATGGCTCAATACATGGACAGAGCCCAGAAGGGAATGGGTAGTAATACTAGGGGAGCCAAGCACCAGCTACTGGTTGATAGAGCAGTCACTCGAGACTGCAAGACCAGACAGACCAATCTGTGCACCGCCTGGATTGACTACAAGAAAGCCTACGACTCAATGCCACATACATGGATACTGGAATGCTTGGAAATGTACAAGATCAACAGGACACTAATAACCTTCATCATGAACTCAATGGGGCTGTGGAAAACAAGTCTGGAAGCCAAAACAAAGCCACAAGTCACCATCAAGTACGGCATATACCAAGGCGATGCACCGCTGCTGTTCTGCATAGGCCTGAACCCCCTCAGCCAGATCATCACAAAGACTGACTACGGATACCGGTTCCGAAGTGGAACAACCATCAGTCACCTCTAAGAACCGAAGAGTGAGTTATCATTTCCAGATCCTTCTTTGACATCATTTAGCGAATTTTAGAGATGTTCCTAAGGTGACAAAAGCAATTTCGAACGAGCTGTTTTGAGTGTGTCTCCAGGGACATGGCCTGGTCAAACACAACCCCCAGGTTTCTGAAGCTGGATTTGACAGAAGGGCACAGAGAGCCAAGGTGCTGTTTGATCAGCGGGATCTTATGGTTTGGGGCAAAAATCAGCGTATCAGTCTTGTTTGAATTTATCTGCAAATAGTTTGTGGCTAGCCAGTCTTTGATGGAGGACACACACTCTAGAAACATTCATTATTAAAAGCCATCATTAAAAGAACAATACAACTGAACATCGTCAGCGTAGAAATGGTATGATTCAATTCAATTTTATTTATATAGCGCCAAATCACAACAACAGTTATCTCACAGCGCTTTTCATAAAAGAGCAGGTCTAGACCGTACTCTGTGATGATATTTACAGAAGCCCAACATTTCCCACCAAGAGCAAGCACTAGGCGACAAAGGCAAGGAAAAACTTGCTTTTAAGAGGCAGAAACCTCGAGCAGAACCATGGCTCAGGGTGGGCGGCCATCTGCCTCGACCGGTTGGGGTGAGAGAGAGAGACAGAGAGAGAGACAGAGAGGTAAGGAGAGAGAGAGGGGAGGGAGGCAGCCTACACAATATACACACAGAGGTACAGACAGTGAAGGTAATGTTGCTATAAACTAAATGAAAAATGGTACAGATATTTATAATAGTGTTAATGGTAACCATCGTAACCATCGTAGATACATCCTTGAAACAGCCGATAATTTGACCAAGTGGCAAAATGTACAGTAAAAACTAAATAGGCCCCAAAACTTAACCTTGTGCAACTCTGCAGGAGTCTGCTGCCATCATCACATCGCTAGAGACTTTGAGAAGAGCTGTTTCAGTAGAGTGTGATTTTCGAAAGCCAGATTGAAAAGTATCAAACAAGTTGTGCTGCTCCATAACGGAGGTCAGCTGGCATGCCACTACTTTTTCCAAAATTTTGGAGATAAATGGAAGTTTAGATATGGGCCTGTAGTTTATAGGTTCTGAAGGTTCAAGACTGGGCTTTTTAAGGATCGGATTCACCACAGCATGTTTGAAGTAGTTGGGAAGTGAGCCAGATTTATTATTTTTCCACACAGGGGCCGACAATATCAAATATTTTCAAAAATAGATTCATTGGGACAATGTCAGCAGGGCTCGAAGACGGTTTCATATTTCTTGTTATGGTCTTCACATCCTATAAGCTGACAGGAGCGAAGGACAACCAAGACGACATCGGTGAGAACTCAATAAAACAACCACAAATGAGTGGAGGATTAACACTGGCCCTAATGTCATGCACTTTGTTCAAGAAAAACATCAAAAAGTTGTACAGTCCTCATGTGTGTACACAGGCACAAGAGTGGCTGGTGGTGCAGTAAGCTTTTCAATGGTGTCAAACAAGATTTTTAGATTTTTCCTGACACAAGATTAGAAAAATAAGCTGAGCGAGCTTGCTTTATCAATTCATTTAGATCTAGCATCATGTCTTTTAAATGGAGTCTGTGTACCTCTAATTTAGTGGCTTTCCACTGACGCTCAGTCTTCCGACATTTTCTCCTAAAACTACAAATATTATCATCATATATCCATGGAAAGGCCTTCTTCTGTGACCCTGAAATCTTTTTAACAGGTGATACCAAATCCAAAACCGACAGTGGTCGTTAAAACTTTGCACAAATAAATCAACATCACATTCAATAAAGGAGCGAGGTTCAAAAGAGGCAGAGAAATCCCAAACCCCTTACACATCTGCAGCTCAAAGGAGTCGGACGAAGCGGTGTCCATCAAACTGCAGCAGAAAGAATCCCAAAACACCAAAGCAAGGCTGCCTCCATGACGCGAAAGCTAGGGAGTTCCAAACACGGAGCAGTCCAGGGAGCATAGTTCTTTAAGATGAAGGTGTTCGTTCTCACGCTGCCACGTCTCCGTAATGAATAGAAAATCCAAGTTCTCCTTAGCGAAATGGTTGTTCAGGGTAAAAGCCTTGCTTGCAATGGAGCGAGCAGTGAGAAGTGCAATCCTGGTAGAGGGCTGGTCTGGGACAGGCTGGATGGCATGATCCATCCGACAGATAACCGGGCACAGAACACGCTGGTGGGGTCCGGTCGGAGGTGCTCCACACAGGTGATGACACACAGACCATGTCCCGATCAGACTCGCAGACCTGAACCTGCCTCAGGCACCGCTCACTCCCGGGAGCTCTAGATCCATTTGGCCCAGATGGAAAACCACGGGATCGCCACTTTCTCCTCCAGACCTGGACCCCAGCCCTAGATCCTCGCTTCCTGCTCCTACCGCGGTGCCGGGTAAGCAACAAGTATTCCGGCGATGGCGCGTGGCACTCCAGTTTAGGAGGGAAAGACTCAGAAAATCTGTCCTGGGTAATACAAAAGTCCTGCTTATGTATCTTAATGCAGAGCAAGGCGGTAGTTGCAAAATGGCTTGCTAGCGCCCCCTAGTACAATGTTTGTGGCAGATGTATCATGTCCAGACCTGCAAAAGTACGCCTGCACATGATACATCTCTGGAAGTGATGCTCTAAACCCAACAGGATTTAAGGGTCATTTTTGGCTATTTTCAGTCTGGTTCTCAAGGAAGCACTTAGAGATGCTGCATGGAACTCACACTTTATGCCTCACATTTACCCACAAGCTGTCGTCATCACTTTCTTCCTGACTGTTCTCCTCACTAACTTAATTTATCTTGAAAATGGTAGATGATGATGCCTCTTAAGCCTGCGATTTGCTGTCTGCTGTCAACACACAAGTATATTTCATATTTCTGAATTATGTAATTTTGTCAAAACTGTGCAAGTCTTGCATTTTTTTGAGGCCAAGTTGAAGGATTAAAACTTAAAAAGTGATTACATGACTTGAGAGAATCTGCTTTCATACTCTTGAAAAAGAGAACTCTCAATCCATCAATCGTATCCTTGTCTGCATGAGCATTTGAAACTGTTTCTGTTCTGTACTTGCCTTCATTATCCAGCAGAATGTTGCACAGTATGGAACCATGTGATCAGCTGATTCGGCGCAGTTTTCCATGGTGTCGATGGTATACAATATCTGCACAAGGAAATCCCTGATGGCCACAATCTGATGTAATTTGGTGATGTCACCTCCCACATTCACAGCAGCTCTGTCAGTTTGCACAAACGTCTTCCTCGATTATCACCCAAATGAATGAATCCAAGGAAATCTGAGGAAAACTCTCTGCTGCTGGACAATGACACTATGTACACAATTTCCTGCTCCACTTTTGATATGTCTTTTGATCCATCAAATAGCACACCACATAATGCCTCTGCCTTTAATTTTTTTACTCAACTCTGAGCTGATCTGTCCGATGCACTGCAAAAGGCATGTGCCCCCTTCTCCTGACTGACATGCGGCCCTGACATTGATTCCAAGCCTTTTGAAAAGTAGGATATCCTCCTCATATGAGCGCATAGGACGTGCATGTTTCACTTTGTGAAAGGCCAACAGAAAAAGAATTGCTTGACTTTGTTCTTCATTTATTTTGTTCCGCCAACTGTTAGGAAGATGTGAGGATGTGGATGGAGAAACAAGTTTAAGTTAACAAGCTTACATTAAGGTAACATTATTAGCTGGATTTAATGTTTTGGGGAAAATCCAACTGGAAAGACATTTAACAACTAATAATTCTGGAACAGACTTATCATCATGATTGCTGCAAATATGGAGAAAAACCTTACTTTATTAAGTAAATGTGTCCCCGTCCCCAAAGAATGTTGGTACCCAAAAGCGCTTCTCTTTAGCACGCATGCACACCATTGCACTAGTTTTGTGCACCCCTGATTATAAACCATGTAATAACATGTTGAGCTGTAGTGCATGAGATGTACAGGACAGAAGGGTAAAATCTATTTAAATTAAAATGTGTAAATGATCTGCTTTTTCTACAGGAATACAAACACATCACTGAAATATGAGGACATCATTTCCAAAAGTGTTCTGATCCAATCAGGACCTCCTGCTGTCTACCAGCTGAGACCAAAGATAGAGAACATTGGATCTCTAAGAAGAATGACTCTTGGTGAAAGAAATGTGAAAAGGATGAACAAGACCATTTTGCTTGTGGGTGAAACAGGAACAGGAAAATCTACTCTGGTCAACGCTCTGGTCAACTACGCCATGGGAGTGAAGTGGGAGGACGATGTCTGGTTTCACATCGTAGAGGAGGAGGAGAGAATCCAAACACACAGTAAGACATCAGATGTGATGGTGTACCAGATCTTTGGTTTTGAAGGTGAAACTCTGCCCTACTCTCTGACCATCATAGATACTCCTGGATACGGAGACACCAGAGGAATCAAACAAGATGCCATCGTCAGTTTTAAATTATTAGACTGGTTCCGCTCAGAGGACGGAGTTCATGACATTAATGCAGTGGGTCTGGTGCTGAAAGCGAGTGTAAATCATCTGGATGAGCGACAGAGGTACGTCTTTGATTCAGTGGTGTCTCTGTTTGGAAAAGACATGGAGAAGAACATTGTTGCTCTCATCACATTCTCGGATGGTCTGATACCTGAAAATGCTCTGAAAGCCCTGGAAGAGGCAAACATGAAGTATGCCAGAAATGAAAAGAATCAGCCTGTTTACTTCCTGTTTAATAACTGCCAGAATACAGAGAGAACACAGGAAAACAAGTCTGTTTTAGAGACTGCATGGGAAACATCAATGGGAGGAATGAACAAATTTGCAGACTTTCTAGAAAAATCTGATGCTCAAAGTGTGATAAAAACTATTAAAGTGTTGAAGGCTCGAATCAGACTGACAGCCTGCATCCAAAACCTGAAAGAGAGAGTTGAGTCAACTGAACAAAAACAGAGAGAAAACCAACAGACTCAGGAAGCTCTGAAGAAACATGAAGAAGAGATGAAGAGAAATGAAGAGTTCACTGTAGAAGTTGATGAGATCTACAAAGAAAAAGAAAATATCAAAGGTGGGGGGATGCGGGGTTTTTTTTTTAATGGAGCTGTCTGCTGTAAAGTCTGTGAGGAGACCTGTCACTATCCATGCACACTGACTTGGAGTCCAGGACGCTGTGAGGTCATGAAAGATGGCCGCTGCACTGTATGTACCAGGAAGTGTCCTGTATCAGATCATGTGAAAGAAAAGTGGAGGTTTGTGAACAAGACAAGGAAAGTTCAGAAGACCCTGAGAGATGTGAAAGAGAAGTATGAAAGAGGTAAAGCAGGCTGTGAGGAGACAACAAGCCTTTTGGAAAATCTAGAAAAGCAAATAGAAGAACTTCAGACAGAAAAAGAGCAGTGGCTTAATCAGTCCTTTGAGTTTGTTGTCAAACTGGATCAGATCGCCCTGACAAATGACTCACCATCCAATCATGACCACTTGGACTTCCTGATTGAGAAGATGAAGGAGAAAGGAGACGCAGAGAAGGTCCAGAAACTGGAGGAGATGAAACTTAAAGATGATAAAGGGCCCAGAGCAGCACCTCAATACAAACTAACAGTAGCTGTTAAAGCAGCTACAGAATCAAAGAAATAGGGGACCGACATCATACTGATCTGTCAATTGTCTAAACTCTTTAAAGATCAAAACAGTTTTTTCATCAGGGGTTACTTCCTCTTTTTCTGCAGCTTTTGACTGTATCACATGGCAGCAGGGGGGCAGGTGAAAAAAAAGACACTTTCCGATTATTATTTTAAAAAAATATAACAATTTAACAAAAAAATTTGTATATATGTAGTAACTGATGGTGACAAGGATTTAGTTTCCCATCTGTCTGCATCATGTAAAGATCTGTCAGCATATAACAAACTAGTTGTATGAAGTTGCTGTTTAATGCAGGACACTTCATGTAGTGGTTAATTTTGAGACTTTGGTCTGTTTTGCTTCCATGTCTTCTTTTACTCGAATGGAAAGAAAACTTACATAATACACATTTAGATGGGGTTTGTTTTAATCCTGCTACCCTCCGCCTGTCTTCATCTTTAGAGTGCTTCTAAATGAACCAAAACAAGCTAATCTGCATATTTAAACAGAATATTTTAGGGGAATGACTGTTGATGTAAATCATTAACTGGGGATGTTCTGCGGTGATCTGCTTTAGTTATTTTGTTTATTCTTTTCACGTCGAATACAGTGATGGCAGAAGTACTCAATTTTCACACCCTTATGCCTGAACTAGGACATTTTAGTTTTTTCTGTGTTGTTTTTTTGGATCATTTTGACTTTGTTAGTGCTGTATTTGTATTTGTTATGGCTTGTATTTGGGCAAAAAATGATTTTTATTTTTTTTTGTTTTGACCCATTGTTCCATACTTATGATATTATGCAATGCAGACTGCTAATTCGTACCTCAAGTGATGGGTTTGGATGGAAACCATCCCATTTAAACCCATAAAACATAATTCTTTGAGGGCAGGGCCATTAAAACATGAAAACTGACTTCTATTTCATCTACCCATCATCCTGACCGAAACCCCCCAAAATTGTCGTTTTTAATATCATCCACCAGATAGCGCCACATATCCATGGTTACCCTATAGAGAAGCCCCTGACTGCAGTGTGTTGTCCAGGCAGTGCTCAACATGGTCGGTGTCCTATACATGGTCCTATATATGGTTCCCTAGTAAATCACATTAAGCCTGTGGCAAAGAACCTTGGTGTTTGGTTTGATAGTAATTTAAATTTCGAGCAGCACACCACAAAGCTTGTTCAATCATGTTTTTATCAACTTAGAAATATAGCTAAAATTCAATCTATGTTAACTTTTAAGGACACCGAGACCATTTTACACGCCTTCATCTCATCACGCCTGGATTATTGCAACAGCCTTTTCACCTGTTTAACCCAAAAATCTATTGATCGACTCCAGACTGTCCAGAACTCAGCTGCCAGGCTTTTAACCAGAACAAAGAAATATGACCACATTACTCCTATTTTAGCTTCATTACACTGGCTCCCAGTATGTTTTAGAATTGACTTTAAAATTCTATTGATCACTTTTAAAGCTCTTCATGGCCTCTCGCCTTGTTATATTTCTGACCTTTTAGTCCCATACGCACCAGCACGTACCTTGAGATCCTCAGGCAGAGGTCTGCTGTCTGTTCCAGAGTCTCGACTGAAAACTAAAGGGGACAGAGCGTTTGCTGTCAGGGCCCCGAGGCTCTGGAACAGCCTGCCCGAGGAAATCAGGTCGGCTGAGTCAGTGAACTCTTTTAAGTCCCTTCTTAAAACAGACTTTTATGGAGAGCCTTTCCCGATCTTATTTGACTTTATTTTTCCCTTTTATTTTATTCTATTCTATTTGACTTATTTTATATTTATCTTAAACGTGTATTTTAGTCTTTTCAATGTTTTCATGCTTTTATCTTGTATTGTTTTTGTATTATTGTCTTTACACTTGTTAAAGCACTTTGTAACTTGTTTTTGAAAAGTGCTCTACAAATAAAGATTATTATTATTATTAATATTATTATACAAAGCTGACACACTATTGTGTGTCAGCTGACAGGCTGCCTGGCTCTGCTGCTTATCTTGTTTATGTGCCAGTGCACACAGGCACAAACACACACACTACAGAATAAGCAACTGTGATTTCCCTGTGAAGTGTGGATACAATATAGAATATAGAAATAAATAAAGTCTTGGAAAGAGTTTAACATGTTTATTTTATTCTTCACTATCACTCTCCTCCTGCACTTATATGGATACTATGGGATTCTACAGAGTTTATTGATATTTGAGTTTAACTATGGGCGGATGTTTGTGTGAGCAGAATCTGAATTTGAATAATTTAAATCTGAATTTGAATTGCTGAACTTGAATTATCACATTAAAAAACTGAATTTAAATAGAATAGTTTGAATTTGTCGTGCTTAACTTGAATAATTGTATTTAAAAAACTAAATCTGAATTGAAATAATTGGAAATTGAATTTATTAGTTTGAAACTGAATTCCAATAAACTTGAAACTGAATTCAATATTATGAAACTGAATTCAGTTGTATTACATTATATTACATTTACTCATTTGTCAGACGCTTTTATCCAAAGCGACTTACATTTGAGGAACAACATACAAGCATCAACAGAGCATCAAATACAGCACGAGATCTACAACTGACATATTACAGTGACAGTAAATATGAATAAAAGCAGCAATAAATAATAGTAAGTGCTAATGGCACATATCAATGGGGGTAAATACCTAGGGAAAGAAGTTAGAGTTAACAAAAAGTGCAATCAATACAAGATAACTGTCGTGGAAATGATATTCCTGGTGAGGGGTTGAGCAAAGAATTGAGTAACAACCAACCATTGTCTTTGAAGAATTTATTTAACAAAAGAGAATAAACAGAGAAGTACTAAAACACATATACAGCTGGTCCAGAGACCTGCCGCCTAGGGCGGCATCGGGCATCTGGCCCCGAGCAAAGGGATGCATCATCATTTACACAGTCTAGGTTTCTATGTTTTGGGGAACAGAGATCCTCTCTCAGCCTTGAATGAACATTCCAGGTGAGGAGAGGAAGAGAGGAAAACACCAAAGCAATCTCACAGCTCTGACCTAAACCCTAGTAAATGTGGACAGACCAACATAAGGAGTATAGGAGAGGAAAGGTTAAGGCTAAAAACACAATACATATCTATAACATTAATAGTAATAATAATAATAAATAATAATATTAAAAGATCATACATAAAAGATTAAATGTAAGAGGACACACTTTTCTGCCATAACAATAATTGTAAGGGGATAGAAGAAGAAGAGCACAGGAAGTGCATGTTAGAAGTTAGGAGTTAGAGGTGTTATAAGAGGAAGTGTTCTCAAGAGCTTCTTAAAGTTAGAGAGGGACGCCCCTGCTTTGACGGCGTGTGGCAGCTCGTTCCACCATCGTGGTGTCACAGATGCGAACAGCCGGGACTGGGATTGCTTTGTGTGAAGGGATGGCAGAGCCAGGTGGCGTTTGTTGGAGGAGCATTATGAAGTTTAGGTAGATGGATGCAGACCCAGTAGTCACTCTGTATGCAAGCATTAGTGACTTGAATTTTATTCTGGAGGCCCCGGGGAGCCAGTGGAGGTCATGCAGTAATGGAGTAACATGAGTCCTTTAGGGCTGATCTGAAACCAGACGCGCTGCTGCATTCTGAACCATTTGTAGGGGTTTCACCGCACAAGCTGGAAGGCCTGCTAGGAGGGCATTGCAATAGTCGAGACAAGAGATAACCATGGCCTGTACCAGAAGCTGGGTAGCGTACTGAGTGAGGTAGGGCCTGATTTTCCTTATGTTGTATAGAGAAAAGCGGCATGACTGAGAGACAGTAGCAACATGGTCTGAAAAGGACAGCTGGTCATCAATCATGACACCCAAGTTTCTCACCACCCTGGTTGGAGTGATGGTTGAAGAGCCAATTTGTAGTTTGATGTTATGGTGGATAGATTGCTCAGCTGGAATGACCAAGAGTTCAATCTTAGAGAGGTATAGTTGAAGGTATCATCACAGAGTACGGTCTAGACCTGCTCTTTTATGAAAAGCGCTGTGAGATAACTGTTGTTGTGATTTGGCGCTATATAAATAAAATTGAATTGAATTGAAGGTAGCAAGCCTTCATCCATGCAGAAATGTCCGAGAGACAGTCCGTGATCCGTGTCGAGACTGGGGTCGTCTAGCGGGAAGGATAGGTAGAGTTGCGTGTCGTCTGCGTAGCAGTGGTAAGAGAAGCTGTGCGAGTGAATGATCGGGCCCAGTGAGGTGATTTAAATTGAGAAGAGAAGGGGCCCTAGCACTGAGCCTTGGGGCACCCCTGTGGAGAGGCAGTGGGAGGAGGATAATTGTCCTTGCCACAAAACATTGTAGGAACGCCCCAAGAGGTAGGATTTGAACCACAGGAGTGCTTTACCTGAAATGCCCTTTGCTGAGAGTACGGATAGGAGGTTCATATGATTGACTTTGTCAAAGGTAGCTGATAGGTCAAGCAGGATAAGAACCGAAGATTGGGCTGCAGCTTTAGCTGACCTTAGGGCTTTTGTTACAGACAAAATCGCCGTTTCAGTAGAGTGGGCACTCTTAAAACCAGACTGATATGGATCTAGGAGGTTATTCTGTGAGAGGAATTCTGAGACCTGTTTGAAGACTGCCCGTTCGATATTTTTGGATAAAAATGGTAGAAGAGACACTAGTCGATAGTTCTCAACTTGAGTTGGGTTCAGTGAGGGCTTTTTAGGGAAGGGTGTAAGCCGAACCCTTCTGAAAGTGGTCGGGGAGGTTCCTGAAGCCAGAGAAGTATTTATCACATGAGTGATTGTCTGGACCACAGTAGGAGATATTGCTTGGAGGAGATTTGTAGGAATCGGGTCCAGTGGGCATGTAGTGGGACGGCTACGGGTCAGGAGTTCTGATGCTTTGTTCTCCATGAGAGGAGTTTACGAGGAGAGTGAAGTGCCATTGACCTGATTCAGTTTCAAGGTCAAAGACAGTTCAAGGTTTTTCAGAAAGAGAAATCAAGTGCAGATCAAGCCTGCATTATTCCAACAGCCAGCAGGGGGTGACTCCACTGTAAAAACAAGTCCAAGTTCTCCGTCGGTGGTCCCGCCAGTTCCTGCCCCACGTCTTCAGTCGGTGGTCCCACCGGTTTCCGGTCAAAGGTCTCCGTCTGTGGTTCCATCAGTTCCTGCCCCATGTCTTCAGTCGGTGGTCCCGCTGGTTTCTGCTCCAAGGTCTCCATCGGTGGTTCCGTCCGTTCCTGCCCCACGTCTTCAGTCGGTGGTCACGCCGGTTTCCTCCGGGACGCCCTCCTGGTCTCTATTCCTCCCCAGATCTGCCCGACCTGCTGGGTCGACCTCTGGGTTGGCCTCCTGAACTCTGTTGCCTCCCAGATCTGCCCGGCCTTGTTGGATCATCCTCTGGAACGACCCCCTGAACCGTTTTGCCCCGCCTGTAGTTGGCTTGAGGTCTTGTTTTGTTTTTTCTGGCACTCGGCATTGACCTCCCTCCGCCCACTCTGTTGGTTGTTTCGTTCGACGTCAGGGGACGTCCTTTCGAGGGGGGGGCTACTGTCACATTCTGCCTGTCGGCCATGTTTTAGTTTAAGCCCTCTGTGTGTTTTTTGTTACATTTGATCAGTTCAGTATCTGTTATTTGGTCTGTTGGGTATTGGGGTTCTGTCTTGTCTATCGTCCCAGTTTCTCTGTTTCTTCTTCGTCTCTGTTCCCTACTTCATTCTGTTAGTCAGTTGTTCCATGTTTCCTGTTTTGAGGTTCGGCTCCTGGTCTTGTGTTCTCTGTTTAGCCTTGTTTATTCCCTTGTACATTTACTAGTTCTGTTTAACTCACTTTGTACCTGTCTGTCAGGTATTATAGATCTTAGCCCTGTGTCTTAGCTCCTGCATCTTAGCTCCTAGTTCTGTGTCTCAGTTCATGTCTTAGTGTTTACTTCTGGTCTGTGTTCTTCTGTGTTATTTTGCCCTTGTCTGCTCTGTGTTCTGTTTAATCCCAGCTTTAGTCTGATTTCCCTATTGGTTGTACTTATTTGGTTATCTGTCTGTATTTGTTTGTTGTCCTCTGATCTGTAACCTGTGTTCTGACTGTTCCTCCAGTATCCCTCTGCCTGGCTGTCTTTCTCTGTTTTCTCCTGCTCTCTCCATGCCTGCCTGTGTCTCATTAGACCTGATACCTGTCACCTGTGTTGCTCCCGCCCTGCTTGTTAGCCCCCTGAGTATAAA